TTTTAATGTTTCGCTTTATTTTCTGTCTTTGTTTCTTACTTTTGAATAAAAATATATTTAAAGATATCATAAAATTTTGAAAAAATATATCGATATTAATATCAAGATAACTATTTAAAAGTTCACGTTTTTTGTACAATTTATTTAATTCAAATTTTTATTATAATTTAATTTAGGTATAATAGCGAAGTAATTTATGCTTGGCTTAACAATAAAATTTTTATAATGATAATAATTCTGTTAGAACTCAATGATTATCCTAATTATATTTTAGATTTTTTTATAAATAAAATGAGATGTTTATCTTATATTTGATTATGTTTATCTGCAGTTAGTTATACGAATTCAAAAATGGAGTTTTAATAAGTTGTACATACGCACAATTACTTGTAATCTTAAGTTTTAAGTAATATACATTAATAAACAGTACTTCATGCATAAAAAATAGTTTTTAAGAGTTTTTGTCAAATGTTTTATAATATAGTATAGATATGTATGTGTATATATATATATATATATATATATCCTTATAAAACCTTTAAGATCACATTTTTATACTATATGTTATTCTTATATTACCCAACCTTAGAAACTACGAAACAAATTAGAGTTTTTACTGCAAATCATATGTTTCTACTATTTACAAATTACTCTAGACATTGTGTTTGCTATGAATGAGTCTATATTGATATTTGTATACATGTTTTTCCCCGATCTACTTAAACATGGAACATATTAATTAACATATGTTATGTGTACGCTCATGACATATGTTCATGTTAATAAATATGCTAAACACACACACATATATATATATATATATATATATAATAGTAGATTTTAGTATTACTTTTTGTATTCTCATACGTGGTGGACTCATTTTATTGTACATTGCATCAAGTCTATGAATGTCAAAATTGGGTTTGAATATGTCGAAAGAAACGGGTTTTTACAAGTGAATGAATGAATTATTGAAGAGGAAAAACATAAAATGAAGAGAACTGAATGATTTGCGTGATTTTTCACAAGGGAGTGAAGAGACACGTTGATGTCCTTGAAAGGACACTACATATGCTAACGGAGTGCCTAATTGAATAATTTTGATCATTGTATTTGTAGTTGTGTTGCAAACTAATAACAGGGGCTAAATTTCTTTGGTTATAAAATCGACGCATGGGTGTTTTTTGTTACCGAATTGGGATCTTAAAAGCGTTTGATGTGAGCTCAAATTAAACAAAAAGTGTCATGCTTTGACTTCTAAAAATATAATAAGCTCGGTTCAATCTCTTTTGCATCCCACGGTGTAGCATTCGAAACCAACCAACTAGTTAATGTCTTCTTTTTCTATCTTTTAGTATAGTTTGTACCTTGTTATCATCTAAATCTAACAATCATCGAAATTACCAAAACCATAAACAACTTTAGCAACAACATTTTATGCCTGCAATGTCCTTTTCTTGAAAACAATGTTTGAAAGGTACCCGTAAAATCTAATTTAATACTAACAAAACTCAAAATTCGAGTTCGATTCATGCAACTTGTTTGCTTTTAACCTAATCTTTTGGAGAGGCCAAACCCCAAAAACTAAAAGGGTAAAAGGAAGGCCACATTTAGCCATTAGCAATTAGCAATAGCAAAGCAAAAATAATTGTATTATTTAATCCTTCTTTGGTTTTGTTTCTTAGGTTTTAAGGAAACTCCGACACATGAATCTGAATCTCATGATTGTTTTAACTTCTAAGTTATTTTTTTTTCCATAGAAACGTTAAAGTCAATATATATTCTAAAGAATGTATGGCGCATATATATATATATATATATATATATCTATACTATATTATAAAGCATTTGGTTAAAACTCTTAAAAACTCTTAAACTCTTAAAACTCTTAAACCCGTTCATCCCTAAACAATTTCATCCCTATCCGATTTCATCCCATAACTGAATTCGTGTAACTAACTGCAGATAAACACAATCAAATACATAATAAATATTTCATTTTAAATATAAAAAATCTAAAATATAATTAGGATAATCATTGAGTTCTAACAAAATACTTAATTATTATCTTTATAAAATGTTATATTATTA